TATCTCAATGTTGTTTTGATTTGCATTTCTTTTATGGCTAGGGATGTTGAACATTTCTTCATGTGTTTATTGGCCATCCTTCTTTCTTCTTCAGAGAAGTTTCTTTTTAAGTCTTTTGCCCACTTGTTTATTGTAGCCCTAGTAGTCTTGATCTTGATTATATACAAAAGACTTTTTTCTCATCCCTTCTTTATCCACTCTCATCTTAGGAGAGTTCACTGATGCGGGTATATGCTAGTAGGGCCATCTCATTTGCTGTATTTTAGAAATGAGTTCACATTGCTTAGAAAGCTTTTAAATCAATTTTTGTTTGATATCCAGTGTGAACTTGATGTATCATTTGATGAATTTTGTAACAGGCCTAAAATGAGTCTACACAGGCCTAAACTATTCTCAAGTGAACCTTTAGAATTAGCTTGAAGCTAAAACTCTTAAGTTCACTGCAGACATACTGTCTTTTTTAATTCTGAATTTTCACTTTCCTGTAGAACCTAAAATAACTCGTCCTCCTATAAATTTAAAGATCATAGAAGGATTAAAGGCAGTTCTACCATGTACAACCATGGGCAACCCCAAACCAGCAGTATCCTGGATTAAGGGAGACAGCACTCTCAGGGTAAGTGACCACTGTGTCAAAAATGTATACAAGATATGCACTTTAAAATACAAACATCTCTTCAACTCTCAAATTATGTGCCTACAAATGTTCAGTACAAATTTTCTTCCATATATTTAAACAAAACCTACATATTCCAATTTTTATTTATGTAAACTCTGTAGCATTCTACTTGAAACTGGCTAGCGGGGAAAGGTGATAGAAATGAGCAGCGTCAGAATGAAAAAGAAAGCAAAGCCAAAGTAAGGCTAGTCTCTTTTTTGTTGGTTGTTTTTTTTATTGAATCTTTTTAACATCCAATATTTGAATATTAGAGGGTAAAGCAGATGGAACTTCCTATTTTACCCCAACCTTTTCTGGCTAATTATTATATTGCAACATGTTTGCTTCTTCCTACCATGACTGACCTAAAAATAAGAAAAGAGCCTCTAGTTCCATCCAATCATGCCCAACACATTCCATGGGAAATGAAAAAGTATCAACATATGTCAATTAATTGAAATAAACTACAAAACTGATTAGAGTTGTTTTATTTAAAGTAAATGGCACCTGTTTTCAATCATACTGTGCGCAGTTCTCTAATTTTCCTTTTGTTTTAAGTTTCATTACATTTCCTTAATGCCTATAATCCTAGCTACTCTGAAGGCTGAGATCTGAGGATTTTGGTTCCAGGTCAGCCCAGACAGATACCTCCAAGAGACTCTTCTCTCCAATTTATCAGCAAAAAGCCAGAGATGAACTTAGGACTCAAGTGGTAGCATGCCAGCCTTGAGTAAAACAGCCAAGTGAAAGCACAACCCGAGTTCAAAACAAACAACAACAAAAGTGGGCTCTTTATATGTTCCTTAATTTCAAGTCTTAAAAAAAATTGTCATAATTTAACTCCAAAGAGTAGTTTTCATATTGTTTGTGGAATTTTCCAACATTTTGAAGGAAATAGATTCTCATAAGGATACAATGTAAGGTGTATAGTAAGTATGATAGTTAAAAATAATACTTTTATTGTTTAAGTATTTTTAATTTTTTTGTTCGGTAGAGATTTTGAGATTTGGATCTGTCTGACTTTCGTGGGGGTAATTTGTTATTTAGGATTTTGTTTATTTATTTGTTAATGAGAATTGAACCCAGGGTCTTCTGAATGCTAAGAATATACTCTACCACTGAGCTCCATTCTGAGCACATAAAAGCAATGCTTTTAATTAAACCAAATGGGACGTGACTTTTAGGAAGTTAAGATAGCCCTCCTGTTTTTATGAGAAAATATTTTTTAAAAGTAATATTATCTTGCTTGGTTCTAGTGGCTCATGCTTGCGATCCTAGCTACTCAGGAGACTGAGATCTGAGGGTCGAGGTTTGAAGCCAGACTAGGCAGGAAAGTCCATGAGATTCTTAACTCCAATAAACTACCAAAAAGCTGAAACTGGAGCTGTGGCTCAAGTGGTAGAGCAATAGCTTTAAGCAAAACAAGATCAGTGAGAGTATGCAAGCTCTGAGTTCAAGCTCCAGAACTGGCACACTTATAGATAAAAAAAAGATATATTATCTCATGAGATCATTGTGCTCGTTGATTTAGGTAATCTTTCACAATCTCAGTATTGTATGTTAGATATAACAAAGGCTCAATCTAACCAAGGTTACCGTTTTGATAACAGTAATTAATGGTGCTGAGTTGACGAGCTATGGCAACTGTATCCTCTGTCACAGATATTCTCCATTGCATATTCTTGTCTCCGGCAGGAGAATTCCCGCATTGCAATCCTTGAATCTGGGAGTTTAAGGATTCACAATGTGCAAAAAGAAGACGCAGGACAGTATCGGTGTGTGGCAAAGAACAGCCTGGGGACAGCCTATTCCAAATTGGTGAAGCTGGAAATTGAGGGTAAGAACCTGTGTGCCTTCCTATTCCATGTGATCAGAGCCTTGCACTTTACCGGAAAAGCTCTATTAGGGCCTAAGAGAAGTGTTAAGGAAAGACATTTCCACGAACATAGAAGTCATATTCTCTATGTTGCCCACAATTACTGGTAGCTTTCATCATCACACCCTAAATTTAGTATAATATTAAAACAACAGAACAGAACTTCTTCCTGGCTTGGATAATTATCTCTCATTTGCAAATTTGAGGATAACAATTTTATCTGTTTTCCACACAAAAATGTAGGGAAGAAAAAAAGTATTATTTTTCAGGTTGTGTTCTGTCATAAGGAATGGAGAAAACTGAAATGATGCATTCAAAACATATAGCAATGAGAGGAGACTTGGATCAATATCCATTGTGTACCTAAATGTGAATACTAAAACAAAGCACCTTTCTACAACTAATTAGAGGTCATAAAAGCTCATATGGTTCTAGGCTGGGTATTGGTGGCTTATATCCGTAACCTAGCTATTCCAGGAGGCTGAGAGCTCATGATCACAGTTCAAAGTCAGTCTGGAAAGACAAATCTGTGGAACTCTCATCTCTAATTAACCAGCAAAAAAGTGAGCTATATCTCCTCCAATGCAAAAAAAAAGGTAAATGAGAGAGAGAGACGTAGTACTAGCATGCGTGCACACACGCACACACACACACACACACACACACACACACACACACACACAAATAAGTTGTCAAAATGTCTTTTAGTCAATTGATTCAATAATTTGATGTGAAGTTTCTTGGTTGAGGAATCAAAATTCAGCTAGCTCTAAGTGTTTTATTCATGGGTTCATAGAATTTTTTTCCTATTTTACCAAAAAAAGAATAGAAACTATCAACATACTTACACTTGTAGCATAATCTAAGAATAAAGTCCTCTCCCCAAGTTTTAACATTTTTGGCTCTCACTTTTCTCATTTGTAAAATGGGGTTTCTTGGACTTAATGATTGAGTCTTTACAAAGACTCAATCGACCCTGGCTATAAGAATTGCCACCTTTTTTCCACTTTTTTCATCTGATTGATAAAATGATAGACTATCATCACATGTCAGCACAGATAGCAGGTCAAGCAGAAAAGGCTTCACTGATTCTCCAGAATGTTTGATCCATCCCATTCCGCTTTCTGCCCAAATTTATACTTTCTTGTACCTTCTCCTTCTCACCCCTGCAGTTTTCTACTTGCTCTAATAGGTGAATTTTATTTCTTGAAAGAACTGTCCTTTTTCTTACAAGCCTTCATGATCTCATTTCCCACATTTTCCTCTAATTGAAGCAATTTTTTAGTTATATTATTGGATCAACTGTTGATTAAAATTTCTATTAACCTTTCATGGTAAAGAATAAAACTGGTGGCACCAGAAATCAAGAAATACAAAAAGATCTGTTGTTGAGTGCTACTGGCTCATGCTACTTAGATCTCAGGAGTCTGAAATCTAAGGATTGCAGTTTGAAGTCAGCCCAAGCTGGAAATTTTGTGTGATTCTTATCTTCAACTAATCACCCAAAATAGCTGGAGGTAAAGCTCTGGCTCAAAAGGTAGAGTGCTAGTGGGACAGAGCCCAGACCCTGAGTTCAAGCTTCAGTACCAACGTACAAAAAAAAGATCTATTGTCAGCAGAGTTGCTGTAATTATCAATGCTACTTAGAAGATTAGTATATAAGTGCTGTGACTTTTTTCAGTGAAATTAAATAAAATGCAAACACATTCAGACACACTGAGCATCTGCTTAGATTCAGAATTGCCTTGAAGTCTATGTAGAAGGATACAGAATTCATGCTATACATTAACTCTAGCCCATTTAGATTATTTGGAGTCCAGTTACACAAATAAAATTTCTCTTGCTAATTAATTTTTAAATCATTTTGATCAGTAAAACTAATTCTACCTTTTTTCTTCCTCCTAGCTAAATGATTGTGCTTATTGCTATAACAGTAAATAGGTGCTAGAATTTTATTAAACATTACTAATACGGTGAGCCTATATCATTTAAATTTCCTCTAAGAGTAGGTAAGATGACCATTTTATCTCTCATATCTATTTTTGCCTTCTTTAGTCCCAATTAAAATGTGATCTGCTTAGCACAGTTGCTTAAGAAATATAAACTACTACAATTTAATCACAATTAGTTGTGATTAAAACATAAAAAATTCAGCAAATTTGACTCTGAAGGTTCTGGAAGGTTGATTTCTACTTAAAGAAACAGTTGAGAAATTCCTATAAAATAAAATACAGATATGATTTAAATAAAGGGCTACTTCAAACTATCACACACAAAAGGTGAAAATGTAATAAAGAAATGACTAGGAGAACCCCAAAATGCCTTCAAATGCCTGCTGGCTTGGCAGCGGTGGGAGCAGAAGGGGAGATGTACCATGGTCAGTCAGGGCAGCTGCGTTTATACCATAGTGTAACGCGGCAAATTACGTACAAGATGAATGTTTTTCATCAGAACTCCATAATGCTGCTTCACTCTGTACTATGTGCATTACGTATGGATATGCCAGGGACAGACAGGGCTTTGTCAATGACAGTCTCTCACAAAGATAAACACGCCAGGCATGCTACCACCCTGGTACACAGTGTTAACTAACTACTCTTAGCTGTCATAACAAATATGAAACCAGAAACACCCTATCCCAGGGGAATTAGACTCCTTTCCTACATACTATCCGCAGGCTTCTCTCTCTCTTTGAATAACAATATAAAGATCTTTTACCCTTCTCTCTGGCCTCAAAAATTCCTACTGTGACATACAGAGCTCCTGATGGAACCACCTAACTGAAGATGGTCCAACATGAATGGCTTTCTATAAGGAAATGCTAATCTTTGCTAGTGATTAGCTAACAATTAAAATGTTATTGATGCTACATGGTTTATTTTATTTAATCAGTCAGAAACCACTTTATAAAACTAAGGAACAGAGAGGACAGCTAACTTCCACCTGGCCACAGAGATAACGATGGCTGCCTCTTCTATTAAAGAACAAAACAGTCCTGTGACATTGTCAAGAATGGAAGTGAGCCCAGCACGGGTGGTTCACACCTGTAATCCTAGCTACTCAGAAGCTGAGATCTGAGGATCACAGTGTGAAGCCAGCCCCTATAAGAAAGTCTGTGAGACTCTTATATCCAATTAACCACCACAAAGCTAGAAGTGGAGCTGTGGCTCAAGTGGTAGAGTGCTAGCCTTGAACAAAAAAGCTTAAGGACAGGACCCAGGACCTGAATTCAAGCCCCAAAACTGGTACCCACTCCCTCCCCCCCAAAAAAAGAGAACGGAAATGAGGGAAGAAATTTGAATTCTGTAAATGAGGAAAAGAATGATTGCTGAGAGGAGAGCGAGCGAAAGGGAAAAAGAGAAAAAGAGAGAGAGAGAAATAGACACAGAGAGAGAACACAGACACAAGATTTTCAATAAACTTTACAGAGAAGGGACAAGAACCAACAAGGAAATTGTTTTTAAAAATAACTGAAGATGTTGAAACTTTAATGAGAAGGAAAACTTGGCCATACAGGAGAGCATAAAAACATGAAAGAGAATGTGGGTGGTGATTTAGTACACACAAGGGTGCTTCCAGAGGCCAGATGGAACCATAAACTTTATGTGCAGGGTGACCACATGTTCTGATTTTCCCAGGACACTTCTGCTTTACACCTGTTGTCCTGGAATAGAATCTTTCTTTTACTTGCAAAAGTATCAAGCTTTCCATGATAAATTATATGGTTACTTAGGCAGGAGAGATTATTCTTCCTTGTAATGGGAAAAAGGGAGAAGGCACATTTTCCAGTCTGAACCAGTTCATAAACTGGGTGAATGGAATTTGAGAAAGCTCTGTTCTCATGGTCTCTATTTCCTCTAGGAAGTAGAAAGCAGGATTATCTTCTGTAAATACTTCTGTAAGGGGGCCATGGGAGGGGGGCAGGGATAAAGGGAGTGGAAATGGTTTTAAAATAGCTGTGGGATGGGAGAGATGACTCAGAAGAGAAGTAGGATTGTGAAGCAATGTTAAGGTCTTAGTAGAGTCAAGATCATGAATATGGAGGGACATTGATCTGTATGGTAGCCTCTGCCAACACGTCTTGCTCTTACTCTTTAGAAAGAGTAGCAATCTAAATAGAAAGTCAAGAGATAAGGATTAGAGTTTTACCAGAAAGTAAAGTAAGGCAAAGGAGACTAATACAAGGGACTGAAACAACCAATCATGGGATTTTTTTTAATGTACCTAAACCACTTAAGAATTAAATATCACACAGATACATATATATATATATATATATATATATATATAAAATATGGGTTTAAGTCTCTGATTAAACACTATAGTTCTGATGTTATGACAGACATGATAATATGAAAGTCTGCCTACTTATGAAATAAACATGTGTTAACTTCTAAAAACATTCACCATATCTGTGATATGACTCTGGTTCACTGCTCTGAGCCTCTCTAACCAGTTGTTTCCCCGTCTCTAACTAGAGATAAAAGTAACACCCATATCTTAGGTTGTTATGATTGCTAGTTAATACAGGATATAGTAACATTATAGAATTGTTTGCTGCTTTTAGTCCATGTACTTCATTCAGTAAGTACTTGTTTGGGGGCTTACCATGTGCAAGATCCTATTCTAAATGGTTTAGCAACACTGGTTACCAATATAATAGGTCCATAATAAAAACCAATTTGAAGAACAGCATATGAAATACATTAGGGTATATACTTGACAGGAAGGTCTCTGTTGTTTCCCAAATCTATAGTTATCTAGAATGACAAACTTTCTTCCAAAAAGATTCTCTATCTTACAACCTGGGGGCTCTTTCTCTGGATAATGAGCTACTGCCTCAGGTAGTTCTGGGGAAAGAACTTCATACAGGATGTGACTAGACACATCGTTTTTTGTCTGATGTGCCAGAAAAACTTGCATGACAGATTTCAGATTCTAAGGTGCTTATTTTATCCTCT